TAGCAACCATATATAAGTTTCATCCGGTTTAGTGTTTTAGTCCCTTACATTCGTAATATTCACTCCACAATCTTGATATTTGGTACCAGGTATTAGATGGAGCTATTTTAAATTTTATCGAAATCGGTTCAAATTTGGATATAGCTCCCATATATATCTTCATCCGATTTCGGGTGATTGACCACCAAATGGCCGTAATAGCATCAATTTTGGCAAATCCGACCGAAACCAGCTTAGAAGCAAGTACACCAATTTTAGTAAAATTCGGTTCAGATATAGCTCCCATACATATTTTCATCCGATTTCGGGTCAATTGACCACCAAATGGCCAATATCAGCCCAAATGGCCCGAATTTTGGCACATGTGACCGAGATTAGCCTTAAAGCAAATACAACAAATACAACAAATTGGAGAAAATCGGTTCAGAAACAGCTATAGCTCCCATATATATCTTTCATCCGATTTGGTATTTAAGTCCCTCACATGCGTAATATGCACTCCACAGGAATGATATTTGGTACCAAATATCAGATAAAGCCCAAAAATAGTTGATTTTAATTTTATTAAAATCTGTTCCGATTTGGATATGCCTCCCATATATATCTTCATCCGATTTCGTGTTAAATGTGCACTAAATGGTCAATATCAGCCCAAATCACCTGAATTTTCGTACATAAGACCGAGTTCAGTCTAGAAGCTAACACGTTAAATTTGGAGAAACTCGGTTCAGAGATAGCTATAGTTCGTAAAATGCACGATAGAATTAGATAGATTTTGGTTTTGTACTAAATATCTCATAGAGCTCTGAAATGCCCTATATAAACCTTTTTACGAGAGCTTTACTAAATATGCATAGTGGTGTAGGGTATCATATAGTCGGCCCTGCCCGACTTTTGAGCTTTCCTTACTGGTTTCTTTATATAAAAAGTCCTCGCCAAAAATTCAATATGGACTCGCGTTTAGTATATCTCTTCTATAAAGGTACAACCAGATTTTAGTTATTTCGGATGCCTGGTCATATTTTCCAATCGATTTGGCTTAACTTGATACCATTCTTTATTAGGGTACCAAATAAAGATTTATTTTCTTCCAAAAATAGAAAATATGAAAAAGAATATTTTGGTCTCTGACGTCATCCGTATAAAATGATATTTTGTAGGAGAATTTTGCACAAACTCACATGAAGTACGGCTTCAACTCTAAAATGTGTTTTTAATAAAAGGTGTTTATTTAAGCCCGATAGAACTTGAAATTATAAAAACTAGTACAAAACAAGTAAGCAAAGGCTACAGTCGAGCGGGGCCGACCGTTGAATACCCTACAACACTATAATAAACGATACAGTTTATATAGGCAAGATACTCGAAAGAATTCCACAAGATATTGTGACAAATAATAAAAGAAAACCATCAGGTTTCGTTCTCTAATTTTCGAATAATAGCAACCTTAACTAATTTTCTCATTTCCAATTTATTGGTAGATGTTGCACTTAAATGGTCTTCCTAGATCTGGAACCAATATTTCCCAAAGACCTATAATCTCTCAGAAGTGGCAAAAGATTAACATTTATTATTGGTTTTTGACTGAAACGCATCTATATGAAATACAGACATTTGACTATATTCTTCAACGAAATAAGCGCTAATGAAATAGTCAGAAGTGTGTCTTTCCTGTATTTGTGAATTCTCCAAAAAGTCACTGGAATGGACATTTTCGTATTTTGACAAAAGTTGGCAAACTCCTTCACACATTGAATATTTTTGGATGGCCATCCAAAACTGCTTGACTTTTGCAATGTTCGGTAATCCCCATTCAAATGTGCGTGAGGATCGGGCGATAATTACGACCTTCTGACAATTTTGCAGTTTTTTGGTCCATTTCAACCCCTAAATATATGGCGATCATCTCCAAAAAGAGTAGGCTTCTATTCTGACCCTCATCTGATCCCCATGCCAAATTTCGTTAGGATCGGGCCATAAATGCGATCTGTATATGATATCCTGATATCCTAACTACTTAGTTTTGTTAGCTATAGAAATATTACCAAATGTTTAATTCAAAATGAAAATATGCCAAAAATATGACAAAATGGAAAAAATATGAGAAAATTTTACAAAATCAATATTTTCATCTTTAGAGAGATATTTGTATGCATTTTTTAGACGTTTTTCTTTTCCTGCCAAGAGGCCATTCTGAATTAATGAGAACTGTCGAAATCAGTTCAACCGTTCTCGACATATAAGAGATCTTTCAAGCATATCTTCTTTGATAGACATATATATCGCATATATTTGCTATATATTCGATTTTTTGGATCTTAACATCAATGTAAAGATCAGAAGTAACCTTGTCATGGCTTTGTGATTTCGCCGGGATATAAAATATTCGCGGTTTAATGAAAATTTTAAAATTTTTTTTAACAAAAAAATATGGTCTATTTTACCCGCTAAATATTATCCGATGACCACCCAAATTGGTAGGCTTCTTCCCCGCCCTAAACTCTAGCTACATGCGAAATTCCGCGTCGATTGGTCTATAATTGCGACCTGTATAGCTACTGCAAAATCCGACATTTTTTCAGTATTTGGTCCATTTCAACCCCTAAACATTTGGCGATCATCTCCAAAAGAAATAGGGTTCTATTCTGACCCTAGCCCCACCTCCATTCTAAATTTCGTGAAGATCGGGCCATAATTGCGACCTGTAGAGTGATTACAAATTAACATGGACAGACGGACAGACGGACAGACGGACAGACGGACGGACGGACATACATAGCTAGATCGACTCAGCTCGACGAGCTAGGAAGATCCATATATACTTTCCTATGTGGGAAATCAATATTTCGTGGTGTTACATAATTTTTGGCCCAATCAAACTTATAATACCCCCAACACATAGTGTTGTAGGGTATAAAAATTAAATTTTAATCAAATTCGAAAGATTAATACGTGACATTAACATTTGAAAATGATTTCGTGCATATGGGCACCGCGGCTGTTTTTGACGAAGTGCATTCTGGATGTCCAATTTTTGCCACTTTTTCGAGCACAGCTGACCGTATGTCACGAATAACACGAAGAATGCTGGCCTCCAAGGCGTCAATTGTTGCTGGTTTATCAGCATAAACCAGGGACTTCACGTAGACCCACAAGAAATAATCGAGAGGTTATTTATAAATTCTTGGCATTTGTACCTCTCATACCAATTGAACAAGTAAAATAGCTTTAAGCTGAATACCCTCCACCATTTGGAACGAATTTGCCAATTTTCGAAAAAATAAAAATTCTGTTAAAATCTTAAAAATTCTGAATGTAGCCATTGTATTAGGGTCTATACGACGACGTGAAACTGCATAAGAAGCTTTTGTCAAAAGCCATTGCAATATTCACATGCAAATCTTGAAAAAACACAACAATGAATAATGTAGCTAAAATCATCAAAATACCGAATATAGGGAGGTACTGATATATGGGGGCTATACCAAAAACGTGAACCTGCACAGACGACTTTCTGTCATAGGCTGTAGTATCCATTGTGAACTTCAAATACTAAATTTCAAACAATTCCGGTGAATAATGTAGCTAAAATCATCAAAATACTGAATATAGGAAAGTACCATTATATGGGAGCTACACCAAAACGTGAACCTGCACAGACAATACTCTGTCCTAGGCTGTAGTATCCATTACGAAATTCAAATACTAAATTTGAAATAATTCTGGTGAATAATATCGCTAAAATCAACAAAACCCCGAATATCGGTAGGTACCATTATATGAGAGCTATATGAAGACGTGGACATGCACAGACAATTTTCTGTCTTAGGCTGTAGTATCCATTACGAACTTCAAATACCAAATTTGAAGCAATTCCGGTGAATAATGTCGCTTAAATCAACAAAATACGGCAAATAGGTAACATAGGTAACATAGGCAAGAGGTACCGTTATATGGGGGCTATACCAAAACGTGGACCTACATGGCCCAATACCAAAAGTCCTGCAGACATGATATACAGTTGAGTAAAATTTTATTAACCTACTTCATTTCGTTTGGAAGCTAGAGTGATTTCCACGGGCGATCAGACGGCGACATCGATCGACATAGAATTTTATGCTGATCAAGAATATATATACTTTGTGGGGTCTAAAAAGTATATTTCGAGGTCTTACAAACAGAATGACAAACTTAATATACCCTCCATACTATGGTGGAAGGTATAAAAATATACATCGGAGCTATAGATGTATGACAACCGAGTTTAACCAAATGTCTTACTTGTTTCCAGGATAAATCCGGTTGAATGTGCCAAAAGCCAATCTATTTAGGCTGATATTGTATGGTGTGATATGTGATATGTGCAGGGGAGCAATAGCTGATCTAATTTTTTCCAAATTTGAAGTACTTGCTTTTAGGCTGAACACGGTCAGATGTGTTTTGCAGATGTCCTTGAGCCAAAAAAATGATTTCTGAAAAAATTCAATTGAACAATATAGGTGAACCTACATGAACAGGCGGGCATGTATAAATCGAGTCAGAATATGATTTATGGAGATCACAAGAATGGGCTATGGATCTATTTCGAGTCCTTCTGCATGCTACAAACAAATCCACAAAGCCATAATTCCATCCCAATTCCAACATTTCAGCAAAATACATTTACATTGTTAAGAATATTTTTAAAGTTAGTGCAATATGAAATTATGAAAACCATAATTGCCACTGCAGAACATTTTTGAATATTCTAGCTATTCAGTCTGATCCTCATCAACATTCCTTCACACCAAGATCCTGTTTAAAAATCCTTGAAATTCTTAAACTTATTAAAAACAACTTTGTAGGCCTCCATAGTTCCTGCAATCGAATTTCTATTCTGGTAAATGTACATACCAATGTGCCAAATTTCACTTAAATTAACTTTACTATGTCATCTTAAAATATATCTGTCACTCTTTTATTAACCATAAAATCTTCATTTTCTTTTCCCCCCTTTACAGACACTCGAAACAAACGATGTGAAGCCGCAGCCAACTAAACCAAGTGCTCAGGTAAATTTATGCAAATTTCAGTTAATTTGACATATAAATTAGAACCATTTCTCAGCGACCCACTAAAAAGCTCGTAGCGTAAAAAAGAACTACAAAATACACATACAGGCATGTCACAGAATGTAAAATCGTTCAAGAGTGAAAACGAAAACGGTTTTAGCTTCTCTAAAAAACGGAAAACGCAAAAATTTTGCGTTTTGATATCACTTTCAAAAAGCAGGGTGAAATTGAAATGTTTAGTGATTTTAACGTAAAAAATAAACAGAAGACACATACATTTAACAGAAAATATTGTATTAACCAAATTCTCTTAGAATGAACATGTTTTTGGAATTTATTTTATAAAAAATCTATTATTTTTCTAATCCATGATGAAAACGCAAAAAAATATGCAGAAATGAACGGCAGACTTGTATTGTTGAATTATTGCCATATGTGTTGAAGAAGAAGGTGTAGAAATGTAAAAAAGGGATTCGTCTTCGGAAGGTTTAACCATTCTAACGTGAGTTCCGTCAAAGCATCCTACAATTCCTGGAATTTCATAATTTTCAAAAAAGTACAATTTCGACTTTCTTTTTTCTTCGGAAGACATTCTTAATTTGATCCAATGTGGACAAATTTCAGCTTCAAATGCATTAATAACTCTCCACATAATTGTAGAAACTGTACTTCTCCCAAGGCTTAGCTCCACATCTCTACCTATAACTCCTTGAAATGCACCCGTAGCCAAAAACCTAAGCGTTGTTGCAAGCTGGATAATAGCCGGTATATTGGAACGTTTGAGGTGGGGAGAAATTTTTCCAAAACTGAAACAAAAGCTTCTTTATTTAGCCGATAATAAGTTATAAATCTTTCGAAATAAATTATTATTAAAATAAATTTGAAAATAACTCATTGCTGGTGGATCCTTACTCCGCATTTGAGTGAGATAAAGGATCTGATGCGTTCCTCAATGTCCGGCGACGAATTTTTTCAGTAGACCGCTGATTTATTTCTTCATCCATTACAGCAAGTATTGAAGCCCCTAGCATTTTTACTTTTGGTGTTTATATTATAAAAAACAATTTAAACTCCTTTTTTAATTGTCAATAATTTGTTTACGACTTTTTTTCATGGAGTTACCATATTTTTATTTCAAAAATGTGAAATGATTTTTTTTCCGGATTAGTCAAAACGTACGAGTGCTGAAGAAGCAAAAGCAAATCGTAACGATTTGGAAAAGGTGAAATAAATCGATTTCGTAAAACTTCTGTGACATGCCTGATAAAGTAGACTATCCTACTAGAACTGGGCTTAATAATTGCTTTAGTGGCCTCATAAAGTATTCTACGTTACTATGTTACAGCTCCAGCTGAGTATTCAACTGGACCAACTGCTGTTTGTTGGTTGGTGGTTACAAATGCCAAAGAAGCAACAACAACAACGATGACGGCCACATTACAAAACAACTTTTAGCCACTTTAGCTCTAATTGAGGGTATCCAGATCATAATTACCCCTCCTACTCTAGAGTTTTTCTTTTGTCTCTCAATTAAAAAAAAAACGAAAACAACCAGCAAGTGCTAATAAACAAATGCCGATGCTGTACTTAGTTCACCACGAACGGGTATTCGGTTGGGTTTCTTGTTTCATATTTTTTGTCTAATAGATATTGTGAGATTGAAGATAACACTATGTAACACAAAAAATAATTACGGGAAAATTTTGTAGTTAAGGAAAGTAGAGCTTATAGTAGCAAATATCGCAAAGAAACTTAAAAATAGAGAAGACAAATTCCTCCCTTTCTACCACATTTGTGGGAATTTTCAAATTGAGATTCCTTGAAATCCTTGTAATTTAGTGTCTCCGGTATTATTACAAGTTACAATTCCAGGATCATTTTGGCAGAAAATTTTAACGCTCATGCGACTGAAATGGTCTTTCTGGCTCTTTTTTTAATTATGATTAAAATCGGCCCTTAAACGAGATATTAGTACGCGTTAAAACCGTATCTGATGTATTTTTCCTCCCTTTCTACCACATTTGTGGGAATTTTCAAATTGAGATTCCTTGAAATCCTTGTAATTTAGTGTCTCCGGTATTATTACAAGTTACAATTCCAGGATCATTTTGGCAGAAAATTTTAACGCTCATGTGACTGAAATGGTCTTTCTGGCTCTTTTTTTAATTATGATTAAAATCGGCCCTTAAACGAGATATTAGTACGGGTTAAAACCGTATCTGATGTATTTTTATACAAAATACTCCTACAAAGCATCATTTTAAAAGGTTGAAATTTGAACGAAAAATTAGAAAAGATTTTCCGGTTTTTTTTTTTTTTTAACCTGATGCATATTTTTTCCTCATACATAATGGACATAGAGATTTCTGTTCTATGATGGCTTAAAGTGAAATTTAATGAAGAAAATGTTTGCCTTTGACATAATTCTTTTAAAATTATGTTTTGTGGAACAATAAAATAACCCAAATGAAGATGAAAGGATCAGTTAGAAATAGCAAGTTATGAATCGGATGTTAATTCCAAGTTTTATAAGCTACAAAGTTATTCAAAATTTTGATCCATTGTGGGGTAGGTACCAGAAGGAGTGGACCGGTATATTCCATATTCACAGCAGATCTTGTGTTAGTAGAAATAATGAGATGAATGACATATAAAGAGAACGGGATGCTTATTTCGAATTTCTTTAATCGTTTTGGTTATTAAAAAACTTTGACCTTTTGTGGGAAGGTTCCAGAAGGAATAGTTTGATAATAATTTTACGATGTACCAACTTTGGACAAAATCGGATAACCCCTTCAAGAGTTATAGTACCAGCCAAACAGACAGACGGACGGACACCGCTAGATCGACTCAAAATGTCCTGAAACGGATTTGGTACAAATCGTTATTCCGATGAGGCACGTTTTGGCCGTATCAAATGATATTATATCCTCTCTAGCCATATGACTGATGGTATACAAATGTGGAAGAGGTAGGTCCTTATCCACTTTATTTTGATTACTTTGTTACTGATGTAAATTTTTTTCCGACACATATACCGCCTATTTTTAGCTCTCTTACTTGCATAAACAACTGAGCTGCTCCCCTGACTATTGAAAAAAATGCATGTTGTCACACAATGTAATTTTTTAACCGCCTAGTTGGGAATTTTTATACCCTACCATTATAAGTTTGATTGGGCCAAAAATTATGTAACATCTCGAAATATTGGTTTCCCACATAGGAAGGTATATATAGATCTTCCTATCTCGTCGAGCTGAGTCGATCTAGCTATGTATGTCCGTCCGTCTGTCCATGTTAATTTGTAATCACTCTACAGGTCGGAATTATGGCCCGATGCTTACGAAATTGAATAGAAGCCTATTGTTTTTAGGAATGATCGTACACTATTTAGGGGTTGAAATGGACCAAAAACAGAAAAATTTCCTGATTTTACAGTTGCTCTATAGATATGCAATTATAGACCAATCGACGCGAAATTCAAGATATCGCATGTATAGTAAAATATGTATGTATATCAATGATGGGGATGTTAGTAAGAACGCTTATATCTCAAGAACGGCTGGACGGATTTTTTTAAATGTTTTTGTCATATTTTTTATCGCATACGATTTTTGGTATATTGGTATACCCTACACCACAAGGTGGTCAGGGTATTATGTCTTTGTGCATTTGTTTGTAACAGGCAAAAGGAAACGAGATAGACCCACAGTTCCTTTTGATGATCTGCATAGAATCACTTTCTGAGTTGATTTATGCATGTCAGTCCGTCTGTCCGTCCGTCCGTCCGTCCGTCTGTCCATGTATTCTTGTGAACAAAATGCAGGTCGCATTTATTATCCGATTGAGATGAAATTTTGCAAACAACATTTGTTTGGCCCAAGGACGAACCCTTTTGAAATTGGAGATAATCGGTAAAAATTTAGATATAGCTCCCATATATCTTCGTCCGATTTGCCTTTTATTGTGCACCAAACGTGTAATATCAGTCCAAATAGTATGGAATTTTGCACATACAACCAAATTAGGCCTGAAAATAAGTATGCCAAATTTTATCGAAATCGGTTCAGATATAGCTATAGCTCCCATATATATTGTTCATCCGATTTGTTATTTTTGTCCTCCGCAGCAGTAATATGCACTCTGTAACAACAATATTTGGGGAAATATATCAAATGCAGCTCAGAAATACCTTTGCTAAATTTTATCGAGATCGGTTCAGATTTGGATATAGCTCCCATATATAACTTCGTTCGATTTACCATTTATTGTGCACCAAACGTCTAATATTTGTCCAAATGGGGTGAAATTTGGCACATACGACCGAATTTAGTCTAGAAGGTAGTATGCCATATTTGGTGAAGATCGGTTCAGATATAGCTATAGCTCACATATAAACTGTTCAACCGATTTGTTATATTTGTTACCCACAGCCATAATATGCACTCCGTAACAAAGATATTCAGGGAAATATATCAAATACAGCTCAGAAATATCTTTGCCAAATTTTATCGAGATCGGTTCAGATTTGGATATAGTTCCCATATATATTTATATCCGATTTCAAATTAATTTCGCACCAAATGGGCAATACAAGTCCGAATTTAAAAGATACAAATGCTTCGGCATATTTAGTCCTTTGAATTTTAAATTATAATTATAATCATAGCGTGTATGATTGAATTCTCCCATAAAAACTTTTAATTATTTTTTTAATATTAAGTGGAGCTCAACTAAATTAGCAAAGTGGTGTAGAGTATCATAAAATCGGCCCCGCCCGACTTTAGGACTTTCTTTACTGGTTTATATATTTGTCTTACAAAATTGAATTTTGTCTTTGATAATATTTATTCACCTTGCAACACTATGTTTTGGGAGTATTATGTTCAAGTCACAATTACCGTCCGATTCTCAAAAAATTCTCTCATGGTGCAGGGAATCAAAACGTTTTTATATTACCTAGTTCATGTTGTTATTTTTCTTTGTCCAGTTATTTGTTA